GACTGCCGCAGGACTGCCAGGAGGACAGCACCCGAAACCACTGTCTTTTCCGCTTGGGCTGCAAAGAAGCCATCCACGTCCTGCCTTGCCCAGGCCAAGTCCCTGCAGCCCTGCCCGCACTCTCTACCATTCAGGGGGCCCAGGCAGCCATGCCACCAGGCCCTCAAACCCTGTCCCCTTCCCCTGCTGCTACACAATGTTCCTAAGGGCCCAGCACTGGGCTGAGCTCCTGGGCCTCCCTGGGCCTCCAGACCTGAGGGGCAGCAGGGTGGCTGGGGACATCTTAGGAGATGTCACACAGCTGGGCATGCTAGTGCACACCTGTCATCCCACCACTCAGAGGGCTGAGGCAGGAGGATCACCACAAGTTCAAGGCCAGCCTGGGCTAGATGGTGAGACCCTGGCTCAAAACACAAAAACATCAAGGTGGTGTTATGGAAAGAGGCCCTGCTCCCCTGCGCCCTGGCTGGGGGCTCCACACCGGCCTCCTCTCCAGCCGGCCACACCCTTGGAAGGGACCTCCTTGCCTCCTGGGAGTCAGGGAGAACCTAGCGTGCACTGCTGCTCCAAGGGACATTCCAGAGCCTCCTGGGAGGGGACAGAACAGCTCAAGCTGATATCGGGGGAAGCTGTCTGCAGGCCAGGCGTCAGTCCCAGGCCCCCAGGCCAGGCCCCAGAGTCCCCAGAGGATCCCAGGATGGAGGGACAGGCGGGTCTCGGAGCCACAGCCTCGCCAAACTGCCAGTGCTGCCCCCCAGCCTGGTCCCCACCCCCACTCGCCACCCCCTCCCCACACCTGGGGCAGGCGCCACCCTCAAGCTGTCTGAGGGTCCAGGACCTGGGCTTAGAGTCCCCACCAGCCCCAGGGAGGGGCCAGCAACCCAGGGCCAAAAGACCACAGCAGGCCCTGGGTGTGACACGTCTTGGTCAGGTGGGGGACCTGGAGAAGGACGGTATAGCTCCAAGACACTCCTGGAAACACCAAGACCTGAGCGCAGGAATCCTGACGCCCCAGCCTGTGCTCAGTGCCCAGACCCTGTCCCCACCGGAAGTGCAGGAAGGGACGGAAGGGGCAGCTCATCTTTCAAAGGCAGGGCCCCTGGCTCCCTCCAGCAGGCCGACTTTCCAAATCGGTTACAATGAGGCCAGTCAGCTGCGGAGACCACCATACAGTTCCTTAAAAAAATTAAACATCCATCCGAGTGTGGTGATGCAAGCCTATAAACCCAGGACTGGGGGAGGCTGAGGCAGGAGGACTGCACATTTGAATCCACTCTGTGCCTTAAAGAAACCCTGTCTCAAAAGACAAAGAAAGGGTAGGGGGCTGGGGGTGGAGCTCTGTGTACAGGCTCTGCCTTCAGTCCCCTGTACAAGAAAGATTTATTTATCTTTTTTAGATTGGTTTTTTTTTTTTTTTGTACCTGGAATCAAACTCAGGACCGAATTCGCCAGGCTGGCCCTTCTATCACTGAGCCCTAAAAAGGAAACTGAATGTAGAATTATCAAATAACCCAGTTATTCCACTTCAGGGCACAGCCCCCATCCCAAGAATTAAAGCAGGGATCTGGACAAATACTGGATCCTGCAGGCACTGCTTACGGTACCACTCCAGCACCCACAGACGACAAAGTCCAGACCAGGCTTTTGAAGGAAAGAAACTGCCCTGCATGTGGCATGCGCCTGCTTGGGAGGCTGAGGCAGGAGGATCGCTGAGAGTCCAAGGCTGCCCTGAGTGACACAGTGAATTTCAGGCTAGCTGAACTACACAGCAAGACCCTGGCTCAAACAAACACAGCAGTGGCCGAAGATTTAGCTCAGCAGCTCAAGTGCTTGCCTGGTAAGTGTGAGGTCGTGAGTTTGAGCCCCAGTACTGAAAAAAAGGTTGAGGAGGAAAGAAATTCACACACACACGCCACACAGATGAAACTTCTCAACGCACCCACTGGACAGAAAAGGCCTGTAAGAGTCCACCTATTTGAGGACCTGGGGCCATCAGGTTTCTAGGGATGGAAGTTCCAGCGGCTGTGGGCACGGAGGACAGAGAGGAATGGAAAAGGTTGTTTTATTTTGTTTTTCAGACGGGTTCTCACTGGTAGTTCAAGCTGGCCTCGAACTCACGAAGATCCTCCTGCCACAGCCTCCTCCACAGCCAGCCAGGGAAATCCTGTTCATCACTGGATGTGTGGTTTCAGTTTGCAAAGGCGGCTGGGAGCGGAGGGCACCACAGCTGTGCCAATGTTCTTCCTACCGCGAGCCTAGAGGTGGGTATGGGAAATGCCAGGCCGGGCTTATTTCACTGCAGTCTACAAACACACCAACCAGAGCCACCAGCCTCCCAAGCAGAGGGTTTTCCAAGGGTTCCCCAAGTGGGAGGTGGGAGGCGCAGAGCCCCAGCCCAAACAAGGGGCACCTGGTTACCGGATGCAACCCAGTTGAGGAGGTCCTGGCTCAGCCCAGTGCCCCGGCACCCCAGCGCCTCATCCTTTGCATCTCCGGTAACTGCGTCACTGGGGATCTGGCACCCAGTGCTCTTCCCACGCAGGTACAGTGCCCAGCAGGGGCCTGGCCTCAGGGGCCTCCCTGGCTGGCTCCAGGGACGGCGTTTATTTTCCCAGCAAGTCCCACGGTCCGGTTTCCGCCTGTCCCACAGGAGGAACGCTTTAAAGAAACTCTCCGTTATGAGTGCGGTTTCTTTTGTTGTAAGCCATCGCAGTGGCTGCACGGTTTATTTTCCTAACGTGCTTGGCATAGCTCAGCACCCCAGCGCAGCCTCAGCGTTTGATTCGGGAGGAACCCGAGACCCTGGTTTATTCTGAGTCACCAGCAAAGCCACAGCCCAACTCAGGAGGGGGGGACAGCAGGAGCAGGCGGCAGGGGCTGGTGGCTCTGTGACACGGTGGGGGGGGTGGCTTTTCAACACCCTTGCTCTTTTTAAATTCTGAACCCCCTCACCTGGCAGGTTGAAACCGCCACGATTTTCTGATGCATTGGTTTCCCGCTAACCCCATCTCATCTCTCTCCGCCACCTTCTTTGTTTGGTCCTAAGTAGCCCTGAAAACCACGGGAACCCCCACTTCCCAGCAAACCCTCTGTGGGGTGCCAGGGCTCCCTGAGGCCCACGACAGAGCTGGGGATGTGGTCAGCACCACAGCTCGGGGCTCACACGTGTGAGAGTCTTGGCTGCACTATTTCAGCCTCCCTGTCTGTGTGTCTGTGTCTGTCCATCTGTCTGTGTGTATCTCTCTCTCTGCTTGGGATGGAACCCAGGGCCTCATGTGCCCCAGGTACCCGCTCTACCACTCAGCCCCATGCCCCAGCTACTTTCTAGAGGACCCAGGTATGCCACTGGGGGTCACAGGGAAGACAGAGGTCCTATTGCTCCACACTATGGCAGTGGGAAAGCATGCTTACCAGACCAGGAACGGGAAGCTGCCCCTGGCCTCCTCCTCCCCCCTTCCTGCACACCCCCCCCCCCAGCAGGCCCAGGACTGCCACCCAGTGCCCAGTCCTCTCATAAGCCCTGGGCGCAGCACCCAAGACAGGGGCCAGCCAGAGAGCACAGGGACTGTCCACCAGGCCTACCGTGTCCTTGGTCTCCACACAAGCCAGCACCTGGCTGTCCTGTGTACAGCTGGCCCAGGACGATGCTGGGGACACCACTGCCTATCTAGCTGCTGCTCTGCTCTGGTCCTCACATTCCCGGCAGATGCCAGCCTTCTGGGTGCCCCTCATTGGGAGTCTTTGATTTTGCAGAGACGCCCCGGCCTTCCCATCTGTCCCCATGCCGGGGCCAGGACCTGCTTTTTCCCTCATCACTCTTGTGGTCCTCTGTCCCCTCCACTCCTCCATCTGTCTCTCCTTTCTTTTCCTTCATCTCTATGTGTGCTTCTGCTCCCCACCCCCTGGCACAATCAGGCGCTTGTCCCCTCCACCTGCAGTGAGGGGACCCCCACCAAGCCCAGGAGCCAGAGAGTGTCCCACTTTACTTCTCCCCCCTTTCCAGCAGGGATCTGACCCCCAGCTTCCAGGGGCCATCTGTGCACTCCATGGTCACCCTAAGGATGTAGACAGTGGCCACCAAGGCTGGGGGATAGCACAGAGAGGACCCGGGGGCTCCCGACCTTGGTTCAGTCTAGGCTGTGGCTCCCCACTGCACCCCCCACACACACCTCTCATCTGTCGGATGTTGATTCCCAGCCAGCCTGGGTGCTGGGGGACCTGGCAGCTGGTGTAGGAAGCAGGGTCCCAGGTGGGCAGGAAGGTAGGGGACCCCCATCCCTCCTCATCATCTCTCAAGACAGTGTTGGGGGACTCAAACCAAGTTGGGGGGTCAAAGCCTCCAGCAGGCCCGCCTGGTCTCCAGCGTTCAGGGAGAGAGGCCGTGGCCCCTTCCAAAAGTGCTGCTGTGGGGACATCGGTCCCCCCTTTTCTGGTCCCCACCTAAACGACCCAGCAGGGGACCCTCTTCTATCTCGCCTTCTCCTGAGCTCTCCCTCCCCCACCCCCCTTCCCCAGGGCTCAGTACTGTGCGACTTTTTGAAACAAGCCACTCGGGTGGACCTGTTTGTTTTTAGAGCCCCTTCCCTGTGACCTTTAACCCCGCAGGGGAGGAGAGGCCTGGCCGCTCCTCAGAACCGGGCCGTGCCCCACGCGGGAGCCTCCCCAGCACCGGCCTCCGCACCCCGAAAACCCACCTACGTCCAGGACCGGCCGTGGTGTAGAGACAGGGAGGGGGCAGACCGGGACCTGGCTTAGCGCTCGGGCTCGGCCCCTCCGGAGTCTCCGCGTCCCCTGCCGTCCCGCGCGTCCGCTTCCCAGGACGTGGGGTGCAGCGCTGCGCCCCAAATCCCCATCGCCCACGCCGGCGGCGAGCGGCACGCACGCACCCCGCCTCTGCCGGGGCCGCTGCCTCGCCCCTGCAGTGCCCGCGCCCTGGGGTGGCGCCCGGCACCCGGGGCCCGCGCCCGGTCTCCCCGGAGCCCTGGCCCCGCCGCACTCACCGTCCTGCGGCGCCGCCTCGCTGCCGCTGCTGCCCCCGGACGGCTCCCTCGCCTCGGCCCCGGCGCCCGCCCCGGGCCGCGCCGCCAGCCGCCCGGCCGCCGCGTCCTCCAGGTCCAGGAGGTGGCTCACCGAGAAGTTGGTGCGCGCCGGGCCGCAGTCCCCGGGCCCCGGCTTCTCCAGCGTGAAGGCGGCGCCGTCCATGCCCGCGGCGCCGGGCGGGTCCCACGCGTGTCCCCGGCCGCCCGCGCGCCCGTCCCGCGCCTCCCCGCGGCCAGCCGGGCGCTGACGTACGTCGGGGAGAAACTTTCCGCCCTCCCCGGTCCGCCTGGGCGCTCGCTGCGCTCTCTGCTCTGCGCGCCCCGGGGGTGAGGGCGGGGCGGGGCCGGGGGCGGGGCCGGGAGGGCAGACGGCGCCGCCCCTCCCACCCACGCTCGGCCCGCGTGGGAGGCCCGCGTGGATCCTTCCACCCCTCCCCCGCAAGAGGGGTCGAGGAGGGGACGCTCCAGGTTCTCCTTTGCTCCCCCCCCCCCCCCCGCGTCTGTGATGTCCAGCCTCCCAGCCGCACCCTGACTGTCCCCCACCCCGCTCCCTGAGATCAGCCGGAGGTCCACCTGCACCCCCTTATTTGCCTCACCCCAACCTGCACCCCTTTATTCGGCTCACTCAACCCCACGGTTCCTTCCGAGGCCCCAGGGAAACGCAATGACCCTTTATCTTTCTTGTCCCCCACGGATGACACTCTCGGTGGCCCCAAAACCAACCCGCGGCCCTGCCTGAGCCGGGCAGCCTTTCCCACAGCCACTGCTTGCCACACACGGGGGGTGGGGGGGAACAGACAGCCAGACTGACAGATGGGGGCCAGGGAGAGAGGGCAGATCCGGGTCTCTGCTCTTGTTTTTGTTTTTCAAGGAAAGCTGAGAAAGGACACACGGAGAGCGCGGGACCCTGGGGCTGCTTCCTGACTTGTCCCTCCATCCCCTGCCGCCACCAGGAGGCCCCACACTGACTGCCCTTGCCCACACCGGGCATCTGACAACAGCAGCAGCTCAGGATGAGGCGTGGGTTTGTTTCCTCCCAGAAAAGCATCACCCCAAAATGGTGCTGGGGTCCCCGAGTATTTGAGCCATAGCAAGCCTTTAAGAGCTGGGGGCCGCAGGTCCAGGGCCCAGAGAGAAAGCCAGTCCTTCCTCGAGGATCCTCTACCAGCAGTATCCAGGGGGAAAAGCCACGCAGCAGCCACTCTCCTCCAAGGAGTCCCCAGTACTATGCAGGAGTCACATGGCCACATAGTGGCTGGGGGGACAGATGCAGGGAGCCCTGCAGAGACTGACCTCCAGCAGCACTAGGGCAGGCACTGCCCTGGGCCCGCACCTCCAATGCAGCCCCTGGGGCACTAGGGGCCTCTGTGGGTTCTTGGCCTACAACACAGGAGGGTGCTGTGCACATCAGCTGTGGCAGTTTCCCCATCTGGGGAAACTGAGGCAACAAATGCAAAAGCACCTCCAGAGTTTTGAGAAACATGCTTGTAATCCCAGCCCTTGGGAGGCTGAAGCAGGAGGACTGCCATGAGTTCAAGAGTATGCAATGAGACCCTGTCTCAAAAAAAAAAAAAAAAGAAAAGAAAAAGGAGGCTAAAGAACTGGAGACCTGAACACGGTCCAGAGACAAAGGCTGCAAGCCCAGGCCCTTCTGGGAAGCCACCTCTTCCAAGCAGGTCCCCTTCTGAGTCGGTCCAGGCTGCAAGCCTATTGGCTGGTGCCACCCCCACCTGGGTGGGTCTTTCCCTGTCAGTTCGCTGGCCCACGTGTCAGTCACCCACAGACATGCCCAGAACTCACTCTGTAGCCCAGACCGGCCTTGAATTCCAAGGCGATGCTGTCCTCCTGCTTCAGCCTTCCAAGAGATGGGACAGCAGGCGTGGCCACGCCCAGGCACTGATTTCTGGTTTTGAACAGTCACATCCCCTTTATTTTCCTTCTTTCCTTCTTTTTTTGTCTTTTTGGAGACAGGGTCTCTCTATTAAGTTCAGGCTGGCCTTGAGCTCGCTTTGTAGCCCAGGCTGGTCTCGAACTCGCAACGATGCTCCTGCCTCAGTCTCCCGAGTGCTGAGATTACGGGAGTATGCCATCAACCCAGCTACCGTTTCTATTTTTAATGAAAGGCTAGTGACACATTGTTCCCCGCTGCTGTGCACCCTCGGTTATGTTCCCAAGGAGAAATGTCTGGAAACAGACGGGGGTCGCGGTTGTGGTCCTTGTACGCAGACCTTGGGTCGAAGCTGTGCCCACCCGCAGCCAAGGAGGGTAGCTCCCTACATGAGAACCAAGGCAGCAGATTCTTCTGAGGAGTCAGTGATGAGGGGACCCAGTGTAACCCCAGGGGTCCTTAGGAGGAAGAAGAGATCGTCTTTCAGGGTCAGAGGGGCTGATGGGAGACTGCGTTGCTGGGCACTGCTGGCCCTGCAGATTCGGATGGGCTCGAGGTGCAGGGGAGGGGTGTCCTCCTGGAGGGGCGTCCCTCGGAGCAGGCACCCTGTGGAGCTGTAGAGCAGTGTCTGCCGTGTGGATGCCCTGAAACACAGGTGAGGGTGGGATCCATGGTCACTGAGAGGACAGGAAATCCATAGCCCGAGACACAGAGTTTGTGAAATCTCAGGGCTATCTGTGCAGTGCAGGCTGGTTTTGAATTCACTCTGTGGCCCAGGCTGGCCTTGAACTCACAGTGATCCTCCTGCCTCAGCCTCCTGAGTGCTGGGATTACAGGTGTGCACCACCACACCCGGCCAGCTCTTGCTCTTGCACTGGGTTACACAAGTGTCTGCCTTCTACCATCACGAGCTTTACGACAGGTGACTGTCAGTCACTCTCAGGCCAGGCCTATTTCATAGACAGGAAAACAGAGGCTTCAGACAAGGTTTCCTGAGCCTTCTGTTCACAGGATCACACCTAGAGCCTGTTCCAGAGGAGGCGACCAAGCCCAGGACCAGAATCCCTGTGAGCAGTGCACCTAGGATCAAAAACATGAAGAAAAAAAAAAAAAAAAAAAAAAGCTAGGCGTGGTGGTGCACGCCCGCAGTCCCAGCACTCGGGAGGCTGAGGCAGGAGGATCTTCATGAGTTTAAAGCAGCTGGACTAGGGAGAACTCTGTCTCAAAAAACCAAAACAGCAGTATAAATACATCTGTACTAACCATGTGGCAGGCAGGTTTTTTTTTGGTCATTATCCCCTAAACAGTGTCCTGTCACAGCTTTGCATAGTATTCATGTCCTTTTAGGTGCAGGGAGGGACCGAGATGTTTTAAAGCACCCAGGAGGGGCACAGCAACAGTGGAACACTGCACCACTTACATGGGCTGGAGGGGGTGAGAATTTTGATGCCGGTGAGGGTCCTGGCACCGTCCCCCAAGGTACTGAGGGACAGCTGTGTCCTTTGAGCAATGCGTCTGCCCTGCCTGTGGACTCAAGACAAAGCTGTGCTCCGTGTAATGCTGAGCAACCTCGAGAAGCCCCCATACCGCCCCGGTGGGAAGACCAGCTCTGCTGGGAGACGTTCTGAGGCCTCGTAAGTTTGTTAGCCTCTTCACCACCATGCCAGGTGTCTGTGACAATTAGGACCCCTACCCCAGAGGAGTGAGCCTTTTTAAAATAAAAGGAGGAGGGGCTGGGGATCTAGCTCAGTGGCATAAGCGCCTGCCTTGCAAGCAGGCAGTCATGAGTTCGATCCCCGGTACCGATAAAAAGGAAGAAAGACCAAAAAAAAAAAGGAGGAAATGATGAAACCCATTGCACATCCCTTTTTACCTTTGCTGCCAGGAAACCCAACACCAGTGTGAAGACACGGTCACAGTAACACTCTGCTGGCAACCTAGTGTGACACTGGGCCACCCACTGCACTCTCTGAACTTGCTTTCTCCCTGTAAGAGGCCTGCTGTGCCCCCCTGACCCTGCAGCCCCGGATCTAGGGACAATTTCTGCCCTTTTATCATTGTGTGGCACATGCTGGGCTCTGTAGACATCCTGATGGGGGCTACTAATGCTGGGGTGACCTCCATAGTGGTCTGGGCTCCTGAGGACCCAGCTGGCCTGAGTAGGCCTGGCTTGAAGGCTGGGGACAAAGGACAAGTTGACGGTGGCCATCAGGGTGCAGCCCCGGCTGGCAGAGTGAGGTGCTGTTCTGGGTTCTCGATCTTGGCCAGTGGCACTCAGGGGGCAGCAGGGGTCCCAGGAAACACCCAGAATGAGGCTCCCTGCTGGGGTTTACTGAGCAGCTGCTGCATACTGAGGCCAGCACGAGCACAGGGCCATTGGCCTGGAGGATGCCCACGGCACACTGAGGTTGGGTTACAGCGGCCGGGCACTGAGGGCTGAATGTTTAAGTCAGAGATAGAAACAGGGAGACAGACCTCACACAAAAGGGGAGGAGAAAGGGGTGACAGGGTGAGATACACAAAGCGCCCTCTGGTCATGGCAATCCCTCAGATAATCAACAAATATATCTGGCAATTTCTGTCCAATCAAACATGACACTGTGTCCTCCGACACCTTATTCACCGGATCTGGCACCGTGGGACTCCTGGCTCCTCCCAAAGTCAGAATGACCATGAAAGAAAACCCTTCTCAATTGATTCAGGACACCGAGGCGGCCAGGAGAGCGCAGCTAGTGACCCTCAGGAAAGAGCTCTCCAGAGCTGCTGCAGGAAGCAGAGGGGCGGTGGGATGAGTGTGCTGGAACTAGGGACCTGGAGGGGGATTCTCGCGCCCCAGCCTTGGCAAAGCCTCTGCAGCCCGCAGGCCCTGCGGTGCCCTCCACCGGGAGAACATCTTGGGTCGTTACTGAGCTGCTGAGCCGGCTGCGCTGGGCACACGGCCCAGGGCCAGGGCAGGAGCAGGCCTCTGGGCTGCAGCTTAATTGGGGAGATAAGAGTTATTATTATTTATAACCCGATCTTCAGCTCTGGCCGGGGAGTGTTCACAGCCTGCCCAATGCAGGGAGGCGCTAAATAATTAAACAGAGGGTCTAATCGGGAGGCCCAGCTCCCTGTGGGCACCGCTTCCTCAGTTTGCTGATTGCTGATATTTTGGGGGTGAAATATGACCGTTTTTACGACCAAAGAGATCAGAGTTCTAACGGGGCAAAAAAAATCCAAAAAGGAAAAAAGGAGAGGAGGGGGCGCTTCCAGTCTTCCTTCCCTTGGCCTTGGCGGCCTGCTAACGTTTCCCTGGACACGCGAAGATTTACACAGCTTTCTGCAGGGAGCCCTAAATCACCCGCCACCCTGCGGGTCCCCGGGCCGTGCAGGACAGTAACTCATTGAGAAGTGAGAGGCTGCCCCGTC